TTTGCTTACACTCTCTCTCTCTCTCTCTCTCTCTCTCTTTGATTATTAGCAAAAACTTCCAAAGAAGAGTCTGGATGAAGTTACTGACATTTCACAGGGTGCAAGGGTAGACTCTGTCGCCTTGAAGATGATACTATAAGATGCAGGTAGTTAGGTGTGGTGGTGCACACCTGTAATCCCAGTGACTTGGGAGGATAGGGCAGGAGGGTTTCAAGTTCAAAGCTTTTTAGCAACACCCTGTTTCAAAATAAAAAAATAAAAAGGGCCAGGGAAATGCCTCAGTAGTAAAGCATTCCTGGGTTCAATCCCTGGTAACTAAAAAAAAAAGGCATGGGTAGATCATGCTTCAGGCAATTTAAAATATAATCTTGTATTTTGAAGGTGACTATTAGCTAATTGGAAAATAGAGACACTAATAAAGATATGTTTAATTCTCCCTCACTTTCTATTTACCAACCCAGTATCTCTGTGATTCTGCATATTCTGCAATTAGCTTTGCTAGTGCAGACTTGGAATGAAAACCAAGGTCTTAAACAATACTTTGGTTAATTGGACAAACATGCACGTGTAATTCTCTTTGGTCATCTTGAACTTCACAAATGACTGTGAGATGCTTGAAATGCATTGATGATCATCACAAATCAGGCAATGATTTTTCACAGATCTATTTTTTTAACTATGAAAACAAAGGTAAGAGGGTACTGGAGGGTTAAGTTTTGAGTCCCCATCAAATCACTGTAATCTGACCCTAGTTCACAAATGTCTACAATACCAAAAGTTTCTTGGTGAAACACAACTCACTGTAAATTCTGATTACATTTCCTATTCCCTTCCAAAAAAACAGAAAGGAAATTAGGTTATATTTGATTACATTACAAAAAATCTAGTCAGTGTCTGGGCAGTCATTGCCATGTCAGAAGCCAAATGTACACATTGTACAGGGGTAGGATCTGGGCTGCTGGGCTGCTGGGCTCTGGCACACGGGCCTGTGTCCTGATTTTTTAGTAGATCAATTTGTAAGCATCAGGAGAGAGTTAAATGCCAATGTACCTATGTGTTTTCATTATGAACAAAAATTTTTTGTTTATGTGAAATAAATGGAAAATTACATCCCTTGAAACTTGAGTACACTTACAGCATTGTTACCAATTACAATATATTAGGTTTCTTAAACTTCATTCAATGACGCCAAGTCTATATGGGTGGAGCAAAGAATACAAATGATCTACTTCAGTAATTCTCAATCATTTTTGGTTTGTAGTCCACTTAGTGTAGTAGAACAGTAGAAATTTTAATTTCTCAAATGAATTTTGCATAAAAATCATCTAAGATTTTGTTCAAATGAAGATTCTTGCTAAGATTGAGCTGGTCCATGAACCACATTTAAACAGCAGGAAGAATAGACCATGTGGCCTCTTTATCTGTCCTATGTTGTTCAGTTTAATTAATAGGCAAATGTGAGCTGTTTACAATAAACATAAACAAGGCAATGCCTGATTTTTATATTCTATTATTAACTCATATTGCAATGTGAAGTATGAATTTTGTTATTATTTCAGATTTGAAAAGAAGTCAGAAGATTTGTTTGCAGATGATTGGAGAAAATGCTTCAGGACATCTTATTTCCTAATCTTCACTTTAAGAAACTCATAACTATATAATTAAGTCAGTTAGAAAGATGCTGCTGGGTGTGGCGACGCCTGCCTGTAATCCCAGTGGCTTGGGAGGCTGAGGCAGGAGGATCTCGAGTTCAAACCTAGCTTCAGCAATTTAGAAAGGCGCTAAGCAACTCAACCCTGTCTTTAAACAAAGTATAAAAAAGGGCTGTGGGAGCTGGGGTTGTGGCTCAGTGGTAGAGCATTTTCCTAGCCTGCATGAGGCACTGGGTTCAATCCTCAGCACCACATATAAATAAATAAATTACATAAAGGTCCATCAACAACTAAAAATAATAATAATTTTAAAAGATCTGGGGATGTGGCTTAGTGGTTGAGCGCCCCTGGTTTAAATCCTCAGTATCAACAACAGAAAACATTGATGCTGGTGCATGCCTATAATCCCAGTTACTGGGGAGATTGAAGAAGGAGGATCAAAAGTTGAAAGCCAGCCTCAGCAGCTTGGCAAGACTCTGTCTCAAAATAAGAATAAAAGAGGTTAGGGATGTATCTCAGTGGTGGCGTGCCCCTGGGTTCAATTCTAGTACTGCACAAAAGAAAAGAAAGAAAAAAAAAAAAGAAGCTGGCTTCAGTGGCACATGCCTATAATCCCAGTGGTTTGGGAGGCTAAGGCAGGAGGGTCGTGAGTTCAAAGCCAGCTTCAGTAACTTGGTGAGGCCCTGATTAACTTGGTAAGGTCTGTCTCAAAATAAAATATATAAAAAAGCCTGGGGATATGGCTCAGTGGTTCAATGTTTGTTTCACAAAAACATAATAAAAAAAAGAAAAATGGCTGATTTTTGGGTCTATTCTCAGAAATTCTGATTTTAATTGTTATAGGTTGTGGCCTAGGCTTTTGAACTCTCTAGATGATTATTTGAAGCTGACATTGAGAATCATCACTGGAGAAATTACAAGGCTAGCCATGCATAATAAGGGTGATGAGCACCTAGGCCCTGTTGAGTGTGGAGTGCTTGTGAGGGTGCAAATGTATAATACTAAAAAAGATAAATAAATAAAGTAGGGGAAAAAGAATGAATTCATGAAAGTGGAAAAAAAGAGGAGCCCTGTTAATAAAAAGGCAAAGTGGTAATCTACTGGTGGGCTCTAGTCCAAGAAGAGAAGATTCACTTAATGGAGGCTTCTGGATTAACACAGAGGCTAAAGTATAGCCAGGACATGAATGAAGAATGGTCAAGGGATGCCTGTTTGTAATGATCATTAAGCTAAAAAACAATAATTTTATATTTCATTATGTTGGAACTGCTTTAAGGAAGCAGGAGAATTATAATTTAAACCTGGGATAACAGAATGACTTTAGAGGGGCTGGCTCAAACCTCCAAACTGGCTTGGTGTGTGCCCAGGACACAGGGCTCACCTCCAGCTGGTACAATATGATCTGCAGGGCTGGTAGTTAAACCAAAATGTAGGTTTTTTTTTTTTTGGTACCAGGGATTGAACCCAGGGCTGCTTAACCACTCAGCCATATCCCCAGCCCTTTTTAATATTTTATTTAGAAAAAGGGTCTCACTAAGTCTCTTAGTGCCTCACTAAGTTGCTTTGAACTCGTGATCCTCCTGCCTCAGCCTCCCAAGCTGATAGGATTATAGGCGTGCACCAGTGCACCCATCTGTAGAATGCTTTTTGACAAATCTTAATGCTTGTATGAAAGCATCACAAAAAATATCAGTAAGAAAAAATGGCACATCACCTTATCTTGCCAACACCTCCTGCCTTGCACTGTTTGTACTCTGGGCAAGGGGATCCTGAAGAACATGACACAACCCAGTGAGGCCACCCAGCAGTAACTGGGGGCTGAGTGTCTGTCTAGATCCTTCAGTTTAAATGTGCAAAGTGTCATTCTAGAAAATCAGCCCTTGATCTTTCATAGAGCGCACATATTTATATTTATTTAGAAGGTTCCAGGATATAATTCTTTGGGTGAACCAGAAACCCAAAGCAAGAGACACCTGGTGAATAGTCAATATCTGGACTGCAAGAAACTAAATCTGAACACCTTTATCAGAGAGGCACCACCCAGTTCAAGTGAACAAAAGATTCATGGTTTTCTCTTTCTCAAAGAGTTCACTTTTATTTGTGATCTTCTTTCAGCTGATAGGGGCTTTTGGTTACAAACTCTTATCCTTCTATCTACTGTCTGCCTCGCAGCTGTTTCAAGCTCCTATTGGCCACTGCCATTATCTGCACTTCAGTTTAGCCATGAGATCCCAGAGCCCTTACACAGATAACCCAACTGGAGACTGTTTTGCTTCTCCTTTCCTTTAGGTAAAACCCCGTGCAACAAAAGAGAAGTGATACTGTCCTGTCACTAAGGGGCTCCTGAAAAGGCAACAGTACCATCCCGTGCCACAAAGGGGCCCTTGTGGACCTGTTTATCTATAGGCTGCTGAAAACCTAGGAAGTCACTTTGTTTGACTGGATTAAAAAGCTTAAAATGATCTCAAGCACAGATTTTCTTTCATTAAAAAAAAAGATCAAAGGATGAAAGTATTATCTCCAAATCTCACATGTCCCCTTCTCTTGTGTCACCTCAGTAAAAGGCATTAAGCAAACTGTATGTAGGGTTTAATTAAGGAATTCTTTATAAAAACTTTAAACTACAGTTTGCAATATTCATTTACCTCTTTTTAATGCATTTATCTCACACAGCATTCAAGAGCAGACAGCAGTATTTTGTTTGACAAATGAGGACCTCCAGTATAAGTAAAATCAGAGCATACATTACACATGTGTATATCAGAAATCATGCAATATATTGTAAACAATTACACATTCTGATGAGAGGAAGATTTTCTGACAAAATAATTGTGGCATAGACTTGCCAAGTAATCACTGAAACAACTGATCACAACCCAGGTTCCAAAATGTCTCCCTGGCAAGAATATTCCTTTTGTGAATAACTTAATTTTATTTATTTAGTGGTTTGAACTTGGCATGTGGGGGTGGGGGTGGGGGTGGGAGGGAAGGTCCTGAGGCAAAAAGTGTGGATTCAGAGTTGGGGACACCAATGCTGCTACAGAGCATATTTGTATGTCTGTGTGTTCATGTGGTGTGTGAAGGTATGTATCGTGGGATTCTTTGTGAACATGTTTGTATGTCTGTGGGAAGTTATGGGGATGCTTTGGCAGTAGAGGAACTTTAGGATACACCCATAGATCTTAGTGTTTAGTGAGCATGTGAACAATTGTTGCTCTGATGGACTCTCACTCACAATTTTCTTAGATCTGACCATTAACTAGGGAACAAAGTAAAATTGTCAACTGAAGATGTCAATGCTCCTTCCCAAACCAATCTTGAACATTTTGCAATTGCAGTTATACGTACAGGGATTGGAGGCTTCGCAAATTCTGCAGAGCTTCCGTGGGCACCTGTCTTAGCTGATTGTTCTGCAGCATACTGTATATAAAACAAATAAAGAAAAAATATTAAAGAAAGTTAATAATTAACATAATTGACCATAAGAGTGCTGTGCATTGTTTCAGGTGTCAGAAAAACAGCAGCACATCAGACAAATTCTACACTCTTTGGGAGCTTAAATTCCCATGGGGAGTGTGGATAATTAAAAGTAAACAAATGAACTGGGCGTGGTGGTGCACACCTGCAATCCCAGCAACAGGAGAGTTTGAGGTAGGAAGATGACAAGTTCGGGGTCAGCCTGGGCAAATGAGTGAGTTTAAAAATATAAAAAGGTCGTAGGATGTGGCTCAGTGGCTAATAGGACCTGGGTTCAATCCCCAGGGCCAAAATAAATAAATAAAAATAAATAAAATTACACAAATGAATATATAACGTGAGATAAGAGGAAGTTCTTTAAATAGAAAGTAAAACATGGATTTAGGATAGATGGTAATGGGGTAAGATTTTTATTTGAAAGATAGTTTAAGAAAGGTATTTCTGAAGAGAGAATATATAAGTAGAGACCAGAGTGGAGTCGGGAGCACATCACGTGAACATCTGGAGAGAGTTACTGAGCAAGAGGGAAGCACCCTGCAGAGGTCCTGAGGCCAGAGCTTGCTTCACTTTAAGGGACTAGCAAAGGATCAATCCTGACTGAGGAGGGATGAGTGAAGGCATGAGAGTGGGAGAAAGAAACTGACACCATCTCATGGAGGACCTTCAGGCCATGCATGATAAGATTTTATTTTAAGAGACCTGGTTGGAGGGTTTAATTAGGGAAGTGATGTGATCTGATTTGTTTTTTCTTTTAAAAAAATTTTTAAACACTTTTTAAATTGTTGATAGATCTTTATTTTATTTATTTATATGCAGTGCTGAGAATTGAACCCAGTGCCTCACACATGCCAGGCAAGTGCGCTACCGATGAGCTCCAGCCCCAGCCCCTGATTTGTGTTTTTAAAAGATCACTATGGGGGTTGCATAGACAAAAGAAAATGCAAACAAGAGTAGGAGACTACTTAAAGAACATCTTCCTTCTTGTGCATGGCCACATTTTGGTATAAACTGAATTCTTTTTGTGAAGTATTTGTGCCTTTGCTTTCCAAGGTTGAACAGATTTTTTTTTTTTCCAGAACATGGAGACTACCATATGGAAACACCTGGCAACAATGAAATAAAAATACATCATTGCTAGTGGGAAAATAGCATGGAAAAAATCCCATTAGATTCCTTGTATTTTGCTACCTTTTTCATAAATGTTTATAACATAATAATCTTGCAGCACATTTTTTTTTTCTTCAACATTTCATGGTCCATGTAAGCCTGAGGCAGAAGACTATTTTGGGAAAGCAAAAAATTTAAAGAAATATTTCAACTTATTAGGTCAGAAACTTATATTTGGATTTCAAAAACAATTTGCCTGGTCTCTCACCTCTACAATTGAAAGTTTATTTTCATGAAATGACTGACTGGGAGTCAACCCCAGGTATGTCTAACTCCAAAGCTTGATGTATTTCCCACTGCATTCTCTTGAGGAGTACTTGCTGGATGCACACTCTCAGGCCTATGGTGTATAGAATGGTTAAGTGCACGGGTTCCACCTTAACTTTCTCTTTCTTACCATCAGCCCCATCACCTCAGGGAAATCATCCAATCTCTCCATGCCTCAGTGACCGGGGGAGAGACCCACCTAACATGTTTACTGTGAAGATTCAAGGAACGATAGTACATAGAACAATATCTGCTGCATGATAAGCATTCAATAAAGGCTGGCAATTTTTTATATACTTTAATAAACCTTTCTTTAAAATGAATGATGTAGTGGGATTGTACTGGATGTGACAATTTAATCAGGTCAGACAAAAATAAAACTATTATAGTGGCTCTCAAACCCTAGGGTTCACTCACTAGAAGTCTTGTTAAAACAGATTGCTGGGCCCCACCCCCACAATTCCTGGTTAGGTGGTCTAGATAGGGGTCAGAGAATTTGAAATTCTAACAAGCTCCCATGCATCAAAGGACTCAATATGGAGGAGTCAAGGTTTTGAAAGGGTACCCAAGTGTCGGGCAGTAATGCTTTCTTTTTGAGCCAGTCATCTTTCTGCCCTTAGCAAAAGGAGGGGGGAATCCCCAAGCCCCACTAACCTAACTTTTCTCCTTGGAAATTTCTGGTACTGCTGAGCAGGACACCACACTGATAACCACCTGTGCTATGCTATTTCTAATAGAATACTTCACCTGAACTTGAGGCTATACTGGGCTTGGAGATATGCCCTATGTTTTGAGTCTTGGGCTATTAAATCCATTTAACCCCTCTGACCTTAGTCTGTATAATGTGAATGATATCTTCTAATCGAAAAGGTGTTTGAGGATTAAAATATGAAAGAATTTATAAAACTACTTATAAAACTTTCATATATACAAATATTTGCTCATGTACTCATAAGACAGGAAACATAGGAGATCATAAAATTTATGCTTTTCTTTCTATGCCTGAGATTCTGTTTTCTAAGGAACACAATTGTTATTTATGTTCTACTAAACTCATTTCGTTATGTTAAACTTGGATTCAGCTAAAATTTCTTAAATCAATAGTTTCAAATATATTGGTTCATTAAGAATAAAGCCGAAATTTAGGGAGAGATCATACTTCTGTAGTTAGGGAATTAGGAGAATTGTAACTCCATATTTTGCATAATTTAACTGAATGCCAAAAGTTTAGATTTCTATGTTATTTTGCACTTTCACAAGAACTTTCAACTCATTATATAATTTTCATTTTACAAAAACATTTTCTAAGTTACTCATTAGTTTCATGATCGATTTAAATGATATATTACATATGATAGGTTTAATTGATGTCTGTACTTTGTAGGTATTATATTACTGATATAAAGTATGCATTGAATTGTCCTTTTATGCTTTGCTAACAAAACAGTGAAACTTTTAAAATGTGGCTTTTCTAAAATATCTAGAAAACTGGAGTAGAGGATAAGACAGGTTTCCTTAATTGAATAGTTGTAAACTTTCTTGGTTGCTTTATATATTTGCCTTCAGAAAATGGGACTTAAATGAGGATTAGTAATGATAACTTTAAAAGTTACCCCAAGCTATCTCCTAGTGATTATTTTTTCAACTACAGCTCCCAGTAAAACACCAAAAATATAACTTTAAAAAAATCAACGAAGCCCTGATCTTTCCCTAAATAAAGAACTTCTGTTTAATTACTTTCAAATGACAAAACAAGAGCAAGTTATCTTTATTATATCCTTATAAGTCTCCAGTGAGTTAATTAGAAAATTATGTTTTTGTTTAAGATATTTCAGTGGGAGAGAAAACAATTAAAGAGTTTATAGCACTACAGAGTGCAATTAAAACAAAAAGCATTTACATGGTAGCTGATTTCTTTTGCAAATACCCTTTACTGAATATGTGGGATAGAAGCATAATGTAGCATGTCCTGAAAATGGTGTAGGCTATAATTTTATTTTTATCATTCACATATGGGTAGGAAAAGAAGATGAAACACTTTTTTCTAGAGACAAAGGATGACTTCATAATTTCTTAATTTCTTTCCTGAGGATCTTTAAAATATTCAAAATTTTATACAGCTTCCTCATGCATCTATAACTATATATTTTTTATTTTTAATTTTTGTCAACAGAAAAAACAACTGGTACAGTGAAGCAGAGGAAGAGTAAACAGCCTGTTGCATAGAGTTAGTGACAATCAGTGGCCTGATTCTTAGGTATTCCCTCTGCTTAATTGTCCTTTGTGTAGATATCAAGTAACCATCAAAGCTCTATTCTGGGTCTACATGGGATTGAACGAACTCTTTCCTATAGTTACTTTTATCCATCACTTCTATGTGGCCTTGGTTTTGGTGCTGAGTGGCAGCAGGGTGAGCCATTCCTTGATTGAATGGCTTATACCAAAAATAAACCTTTTTTGAGGATAACCTGCTTCAGAATTCCATTGTATGATGTATTTTGCAATACAGAACCAATGGCTAATTTGTATTAGGCCAATATTAACAGGGATAATAGTCTTAAAAATTATTGATCTTTTAAATGTCACAGTGATAAGATTTTATATATAAAATACTTCTAGCCAACGATGCTTTTGCTATCTTTATTCTCCATCTTAATAGACTGGATGACTATTACCTTTTTATTATTTTACCATACACTCTTACTCAGGTCAGGGCCCCAAATAAATATTACTTTCATATTATCTTTCTCCTCATGCTATGATATAATTTATTTCTGTCTCCTACCAGTGACTTTGGAACTTTATAAAACATTTGAGAGAGCTTCCATGAGGATAGGGACAGATCTATTTCGTTTAGTATTTTATCTCCAGCATTGTTTCTTAACCCTATAGGATCTAATGTTCCTTTTCATAAAGAAACATTTTATATGTATGTGAAATTCATAAAATATAGCCTATCTATGCACATAATTTCAAAAAATCAATATAATGCACTACCCTAACTGCATTACAAAAGAGAAATACAGAAAAATAATTTGTAGTGTAATGACTTATGTATCACTGTACACATGATGCTCGCATGTGACTATCCTAGAAGACAATTTTATGAACGAGTCAGATGCTTGCTTCTACTTTTAATGAATAAGGTCGGTGTGAGCAAAATAACATGATCAGAAGCCATTCTGTGCAAGAAAAGGAATATGTAGTGGACATCTAAATGGAAACCAGAATAAAAACTACTTAAGATATATAATAACGACCATTCTCACATATTATAAGGGAAAGAAGAAAATAACCTTTATTGAAATAAAGAGAACATGACAAGGCAAATTACACAGGTTGGAGTACAGAACATGAATAAGTGACACAAACAGGGAAGGATAGTCTCACAAATGAGTGTTTCTTATAGAAAAGAGTATTGTCAAAATACTTTCCTTTTAGGACAAGACAGTGTTGAAATACCACAGAGAACATTTATCCTGTCTGAGAGTTGACAACATGCTGAGGCA